CCACTCCCAAAACAAACCTCAGAAGAAACAGAAATTCGGAAATTAAAATAACTGAACTCAAGGCTGTAATCAAGCTCTTAAAAAATAACAAGGCCCCAGGTTACGACTTGATAACAGCTGAAATAGTGAAAAAGCTACCAGAAATTGCTGTAAAACAGCTGCTTTTTCTGTTCAATGCACCGCTAAGGCTTAATCATGTCCGAGCGCAGTGGAAAGTCCCAGAAATCATCATGGTACACAAGTGTGAAAAACCTGCCAATGAGATGAAGTCGTATAGACCTATATCACTCCTACCGGTGTTGTCGAAGCTGTTTGAAAGGGTTTTATTACATCGCTTGAAACCAATAATAGAAAATAGAGGTCTCATCCCCGACTATCAATTTGGGTTTCGGTCTAGACATTCCTAACAGGTTAACGAACGTCATTGAAAATGCGTTTGAAAACAAAGAATATTGCTCAACTGTCTTCTTGGACGTGGCCCAAGCGATCGATAGGGTTTGGCATAAGTTCCTCAACTTCAAAATAAAGAAGTTTATGCCGGAGCCATTTCCAAAAATATTAAAGTCCTACCTCTTTAACAGAATATTCAGCGTAAAATTTGAGGAAGAGTACTCCATTTTACTTCATCTGAGGGCTGGTGTGCCTCAGGGAAGTGTGCTGGGACCTCTTTTGTACTTGCTTTACACCAGAGATATCCCGCAAAATGAAGAAACTTCCTTAGCAACATTTGCAGACGATACGGCAATATTAGCGATTGGTAAAACTGTTGAAGAAGCTACGAATAAATTGCAAATCTCATTGGACGAAGTGTCTACTTGAACGAAAAAATGGAGGTTCAAAATCAACGAAGCTAAATCAGTGCACGTAAACTACGCCAACAGAAGGGGCGATCCAATCGGTGTCTTACTTAATGGGGCAACAATTCCGCACGCCAACGAAGCCGAATACCATGGTACGACACTAGATGCTAAATTAAAGTAGAAAGAGCAGAAATATTGGCTTCTTGGAAGACATTCTGAGCTTAATACACAAAACAATATATTGATCTACAATCAGGTTCTTAAACTTGTTTGGACTTACGGTATACAGCTGTGAGGCTGCACCAAAGAATCCAATTTGAAAATTATTCAAACTCTCCAAAACAAGGTCCTTCGAGTCATTGTAAATGCGCCATGGTATGTAAGCAATGATAGGGGGTTTTCATTTATTCAGCTCTAGAATAGTTCTAGCTTGTAGCACGTTTGAAAATTCACGCTACATACACTAAAAATATAGATCGTTCGGAAATTACTGGCTGCAATAAAGTGCGTTCAAAAATTCAATCTTTAATAAAGAAATGTCAGAAATGTAGCGCAGACTTCTAGTTTACATTTTGTCGCTGCCTCCTGAAACTGCTTCTTTTTTGCAAAAATTTTAAATTTAAAAAAATTTTAAATCTCAAAATTGCAGATTCAGATATTGAAGGATTATTAAAGTAAGTTTTCTTTAAGTCTTCAAATCTTGTTAAAATTTCCATATTTTGCGGTGAATTGGAGGGCGAAAAGTATTGCGATACTATTTCATAAACAATGTTATTTTTGTTATTTTCGAACGACTGATTATTTAGAAGTTTCAGAATTTGTAGACTGCGTAAACTAAAAAAACTTAGCTGACTGTTTAACGCTGCGGCTTAGAAATTTTAGTTCTAATGTAGAATTTCCAGCGCAGCGTGCATAAACGAAAATCCCCAAACTCTACATCGAGATCCAAACGTGCAACAGTCAAAGATGAAATAAAGAAGCAACTTTTGGATGTATATCAAGTACAAAGACGATTGAAAAGGGTCAGACCACTTGAACTGATCGGCTAGACAAATACAATGTACAAGGAACTCATCAGTGGATGATACACCCATAACCCGCATACTGAGCCAGAAAATGTGCTAGATAGGAATTATACTCTTAGGTGCAATATCACTTAATGAAATAAAAAAAAAATTAGTGCAGTTTATAAATAAAAAATTTTAAAATATTTGATAATAAGTGTTAAAAAAGGAATATTATTTTATAAAAACTTTTAAAGAAATTTTAACAATTGAAAAGAAAAAAATTTCTTGAAAAGGAAAAAGGTGTATACTTTTAAATTATTATTCTCATTTGCAAAAACAAATTGCTTTTTACACCATATACATGTGAACATTATCACAGACATCTTTATTCTCAAGACTCCGTAATGTACAATTTACTAATACATACACAAGGTGTATTCAAAGTTGGTCATCATACTTTTTGTGAAGAGATATTCTTATATTAGGTATTTTCGAATAAATTGGAAATGCTCATGGTGACTTTAGATGTTTGAAAATAAAAAATGATTAAATACAAAAAATATGCAGAAATTATTTTATTTCGTTTAAATATTAACAAAATTAAGTTTTTTGTTCTTACAAACTAGTTACTTATTTCAGGTAACAAATTGCATTATAATAAATTACAGGTAACAAAATATTTTTCAGTTAAAACCAAAATAATAAGTACATACACAAAATTGTTTTTGAAAAAACTGCACGACATATTTACATAAAAAAATAAAATTTTTAATCAATATTTCTTAAAATAAGTAATATTTGATGAGAAAAGCAATTAATTTTATGACATAAATGTACCTATGTATTTAACCAAATTCACAAATTTTTTTAATTTTCTTTTATAAAAGATTAAATTACATTCTTATTTAAATTGTTAAAATCTGAACATTAGTTGGTACTTGATTAAATTATATTTGCCACAGGCAACAAAATAAAATTTAAAGTTTTTACAAATTAAAAACACTTCCGTGGTGTAGAACTCCTTTTTCCTAATGCTTGTATCCATTTGTCCCTGATGACTTCGTTCTTTAACAAAGAAGACAAAGTAAATGTAGGTATAGCATTTACGTTCTCTTTTTCTCGTAGACAATTGCATCTGCATTCTTCGACGCAACACTTTTGGGGCATTTCTATTTATATGAACGTAATCAAATATACTATTTATTTTATTTAAATATGATTACAATAGAAATATTAAAAAGTACACCGTATCTTACTAATTAATTAAGTCATTTTTTCTATTTAAATAAACTAGTAAAATTTTTTGAAAATCCACCTTCTTTTTTACTAAATATTACAAACAAAATATAAAATTTAATTAATATAACTTATAAATCATCATTTTATATTAAAGCACAAATAACAAGTATAATTTTTCACTAAATTTAAAATAAAATTAAATTTTAAACAGCAAATAAATTATTTTACCGATTAGCCAGACAACCTTCCCTTACGAAATTTATATATGGATTAAAGAAATGAATAGTCTTTTTTCTGAACAAAAAACTTTGGATACACACATATGCAAAAATATTATATACATTATAGGAGTCTATGACATTATTCATTTCAATAATTAAAAGAGATATTTATTCAATAGTGCTTTGATTATTTCATAATTTATAATTTTAGCAAAGAAAGCATATGTTTTTGTTTTGTTTTAAATTAAAATTGCTTTGGATGCCATAATTTTGCCAATTTTAATACTGTTTTTTTTTTAAGCAAAATCAATTTGTGTTTGATAAAATGTAGCATACAAAAAAATATTTTAAATGATTTTTTTTTGCATAATTACAGTTTTCCTAGAGTTAATAGGATTATGAAATGAGATATATTTCCCTTTATAGAGTGAAGATTTGGTCACCAAAAAAATAAATGAAGATGACGTTGAATTCTGTAAGTAAAATACAGTATTAGCGTGTATTATTTATATTCTAAGATATTTTGATTTAGAATGAATTCACATAAGTAATGAATAAGAAAGAATACCAGTGAGTAATAACCATCACATTAATTAATATTTGTTAAAATTTATACTGCTTTAGAGTCATAAAGATTTGTATGTATTGATGTATGTATATTTATTGTTATTAATATTGTTTAGAGTTGTTCAGTAAAATTATCGAACAAAACTGATAATATCAGAAATTGTTTAACAAAATACATACATATGTATGTTCATTTTCGAGGATCATACAATATTGTGATATTAAAATACTTATAAATGTTTGCAATTTATAAAATAAATTTATTCAAAGGAAAAAAAAATATAATGAGTTTTGTTTAAATTTGTTTTTTTTCCACAGATATCTAAAATGAAAAAATATTTTGAAATATTTTTTAGTTTTTACTTTGAAAAAAATTTTTAACCTATTTTTCTTACAAATTACATATATGTATTTTATAGTTGAGATCAGAGAAAAAAGTAAAATAAATACGCTCTTATTACGACTTTGACAAAGCTCGGAGCAAAGAAAGAGGCAACTGGAAAAAATTTGGCCTCATTGTTTTTTCAAGATGGCCATTCCTTTAGTATTTACACAAATATCTTTGTATTATATGTACATTATAGGAGTTTTTGATATGTCTAAATCGTTGGTCGAAATTGCAAATCCAGTTTTTAACATTTCAAATTAGTAAATACAAGGTGGTCCGATCCAAGTGCTACAGCTCCCGGCAGATGATTCAATGGAGTTTTTTAGGAAAAAAGTGGTATGGATGTGGAGAGGGGAGAACACATTCGGCGCTGTTGAAAGTAAAGTAAAGTTGTGTTTGGAAACTTTGTTGTTAATTACATAAATTATCACATTGGCTGCAAAACGGCACGCGTGCCATGAAAGTTATGAATAGCAAAGTTGTAAAAGCTGATGTATCGCATCGAGAAAAAAAAACAACGGGCTTTTTTAGCTTTTTTTTTAATTTTCAGCTTTTAAATTCAAAATTTTGTGTTTGAGCGACTATTACTTGAAAGCGCAAGTCTTTCACCTATCATCGGTAAACTGTTATGAATGTAGGTACATACAATTTTTTTATGTGTTATTGTTATTTTAATATTTTGTGATCATTTCAAACCAACTACAATGACTGTTGTTGGTTTGTTATATGGATATAAATTTTTATATTTCCCGAGATTTAATTTTTCGAAAATATTTGCATTTAGTTTAATTTAATACTGCGTTCCAAATATTTAGAGCAGATTCGTAATTTTCCGAATTTCAGAACTACGAACGAAATTCATGATAGGAATTTTATTTCCATTAAAATGGGAGTCAAAGTACCGGACATCAATTCCAAGTAAAAAAACTATATTATGTTGACTAAGTGTAATTACAAACAAAATTCATAAGCTTTGAAATGAGCATCAATTTGACTTTGCATTTCATATTCCCTGAGTTATAAAAAAAAATGTAAGAGTTGAACGGTTTTCAGAAATGCTAGCTTTGCAGCTTCATAACTCTAAGAGGGCCCAGAAGAAATATTATCATGTTTTTTTTGTTCTGGACGAATTTTATGGGAGAACGAATGTATTTTCTTAAAATTGCATTACGAAAATTTTATCATCGCTCACAAATGTATATTTTTCAATGTGCTATAAGCATTATATTCTGTAAACAGTTATCAAAATACATAATTGTTTTTAATAATTCTGGGTTGCCATCTACAACAATCCCTGTCTTTTCAAATCTTCATAAGTTTTTCTTGTGACAACGTTTCCTTGTGTATCTTCAAACTCTTCCTCCTGATCTGGAATCCAACGTTCTGCTTGTTTTTGAGCTTTAAGCTTCTCCCATACTAAAACAAGATATGTATTAAAGATCTTGAGTTGTATAATTTGAAAAAAGGTTTTTTTTACGCATTTTAAGGTTCCATATTGTATAAAACTTAGAACCTAAGATATTTTCTGCCATATGAAAAGTGATTATTAAGGGATCATTTTTAAAAATGTTCGGCAACAAAACTTGTAGACCTTTTCAAAATCTTTTTACAATATCTCATGCGTCCATATAAAGCTAGCATATTTCCTGAAGGCCCCTCGAACAATAAACTTTTCGAAGTTTAACATTTAAACATGATTGGAGAAGTGAACGTATTTTATTAACGATTTGCATGAGATATATGTAGAGACATGTATTGCTAGAGTTTGTAGACTATTACTTATTAGAAAGTACACTTTACACACCTACGTATTAATAAATACACTTTAAAGGAAGGCAAGTTCACTTTTTCTTTTTTATAACATTGAACTAAAAGAAAATAATGATTTCAAGGAGCTTATATGTTATAACGCCTTCAATTTGAGTTACATTTGCGAAATGGGAAGTGTTTGGAAGACGAAGACAATGCATAGAAGATAAGAAAGTAAAAAATGTGCACATATTAACCGTTCGAAATACACTTTAAAAGAAGGAAAGTTCAAATTTTTTTTTTTTACTATATGGAACTAAAGGAAAATAATGAATTAAAAAAGCTTACGTGTTATAGCGTCTTCAATTTGAGTTACATTTGCGAAGTGAGCAGTGTTTGGAATACCAAGACAACGCATTCCATGAGCATGTCTCCATTCAGCAAAATGTCTTTGAAAGGCTTTTGGACCCTTGTATGTAAAATTACCACATATTTCACAATTATAACTTATATTTAGGCCATGGAGTTTATATAACCAATAAGGAATTGGTTTTCCATCCCACCCAAGAGGTAAATTTTTAGGATTGTAGGGAACATCATCAGTGTCATCTTCCCCAGGATCACTTTCACTTGCTTCAGCATCACTGTCATCTCTCTCTCCTCCTGTTCTTGCTTGTTTTCTTTGCACGTTTTCCTTCGTGGCACTCCTTTGTTCTGAAACTAGTTCGGCGTATTTATATAACTTTGCTTCCATTGAAGCTATTTCTTTTTGTCTGTTCAACTCCCTTGTATTAGATTTACCCCCGGTTTTTTTTGCCATCAAAGATGGGTCTAAAGACTTTTTTCCTTTCGTTGAAAAGAGACGCTGGGCCCTCTCTTCAAGAGTACCGCCGCATTTTAAACCAAGTGCCATTAATGCGGATTTCAAACGATCGAGTCCTAATGAAGCTAGTTCTTCCCAACTTGAAAAAGCTGACAAGTCTAAATGAGCTCCGGTATTGGCTAAAGCTGACTCGGCCTCTTTTGGCCAGCCTGGAAAAGTTCCCGCTTGCCACTGTCTTTGAAATTCTTTATCAACTTTTTCAAGTTCAGCATCCACATCTAACAACGGCTTAATACGCAAAATGTAATTATAAAGATAATTGTTTAAACGTTCTAAATACTTCTTATAGTCCATATTTTTTCTTTCTTTTGGAATATCAAATACATGATCAAAAGTCATTAAATATGTGATATAATCCACTTTTTCAATACTTCGGATGTTCAAATAGTTCTCATAACATTCATTTAAATCAAGATATCGGCCATAGCCCTCCTCATCTGTAAAATCAACAAGCGCATTCATCTCTTCCGGATTTTGATAAGCTTTTGTCAGTTCTTCGAATTCGACTGACAAAGGAACGCTTATTTCATTAGGATGCTTTTTATAAAATTCCTTTATTTGCTTTAAACGAGAGTAAAATTCAGAAAATTCATTTGGACCTGATAACGCTTGAACTTCTGCTTTTCGTTCATTATCCTTATCTTCATAAAGCTCTTTCAGCTTTGTTGTTGCATTATGATGAAGCTAAAATTTAATTGGTTGAAAACATTAATGTACATATGCTTATCGACAAAAAAAAAAACCTACGTCAAGCAAGTATTTTAGCCGATGTTCAGAATATATTTTGTCTTTATCCTATAATTAAAAATAAACATATATAAATTGCCTGTAACTTTATAAGGAATTGTATAAAACATACACTTAGCTTTTTGGAGGCATATTCATCTACCATTAATTTTATAAGACGCTCTCTTTCTTCGTGGTAACCTCGCTGTTGTTCCAATATCGTCTCCATAATTTGAAATTTGCACTATCGAATTTTATAAGAATGAAATTTATACATCAAATTATAGATGATATACAAAATATTAACGTGTAAATAATCTTATAGTTTCAGATATACATATATCTAAATGAAATTAAAAAACATGTACAGCACGGAATGAAAATCAGTTTGTTTGACACTTGACATAACAAAAATTCCTATCAGCCGTGGTTGACAAATCCAAAAAAAATGTTCATATGCAGTGGATATGCGACGAATTAATGCCATATATGTACATACATATGTACATATGTAAGTATATCTATCAGGCCAAATATTGAAAAATATTTTCCGAAATTTTGAGTGAGAAAAAAATACAAGAACAATTCTTAATGTTTTATGTTTTCGAAGTATGCCGATTGAAATACTTTTTTATTTTTTTTTGTGAAATTTTTGAGTATTCTTTATGTATCTCATTTTATTTAGGATAGATTTGAAAGCCATCTAGGTTATAATTACTATTTTTTTGTTTTTTTCTCCAATTTATTTTTAAATTCTATTTTTTAATCAAAAATTTTAGTCTGTATTTCAGTACCCTTCCATTTGAAAGATAAAAATGGTTGTCTGCGCTAAAAATTGATTTTTCAGATGGAATTTACCAACCAATTTTTTTCAAATTTAAATTTTACATTTCAAAAAAATATCTGACGCACCTTCCATTTAAACTCCATATAAATTTGGAATTTATTTTTGATTTAGTCTCTGAGGTTGATGGTCTGTAGATACATATATACATATGGCATTAGATGAATCCTACAATAAATGTAGGTTTTTTTTTGTCGGTTGTCAATAAACTGGCAATTTGAGATATTTTAGATTATTAGTCCTGAAAAACGGAGGTGGCTTCGACCAAAGGCGCATAAAACCTATAGTTGCGGCCGCATACACCTGCACCCGTGCCGCGATCGCCTTTAGAGGTATCCGTGCACCACACGAGCGCCTGGGCTGGCAAGGAGACTATAATTGCCTCTACGGATTCCCTTTCAGGTATTATTACGTAGTCGTTTTAATTAGGAAGTTTGACGCCTCCAGAAACTTCCCGTTCGATCCAACTTCCTCCAGGATGGGGTTATGAGCCACATTCTATATATTCTGAGAGCCTCAGTCTTGCAGCCGCCGAAACGCCACCAACATGCAAACGTAAGGGAACAAGTCCCAGCATCCGCTCAAGTGCTGCCGTCGGTGAGGTCCTCAGGGCACCAGTAGTGCCCAAACAGGCCAACCGTTGTATCTTGTTTAGGACAGTTTGGACCCTTCGCTTGCCGCGTCGTCAGCCATCAGAATAGGAGCGCCGTCAAATTTCGGTTTATGGAAGGTTACGCCCGTACTCTTGGTGAAAAGTACACACTTTACCTTTTGCGGATTCACATTTAAATCCGCCCCTTACAGCCAGAGCCAGTTGAGTGCACTCCGATACTGTAGTCTTGAACTTGCGCTAAATCATCACAACCACGTCGTCAGCATAGTTAATGCTTCCGAACCCTGATCGCTCTAATCTCAGAAGTAGCTGGTCCATAACGAAAAGCCACAAAAGTGGGGAAAGAACCCCACACTGTGGGCAGCGCCCAGTGGCTGCGACCGGTCAAGGAGTCAGTACCAATTACCGCCTCGATTTTTCTACTCCTGAGCATGCCAGTGGTCGATCCAATAATGGTACTGTCAAAAGCATTCCTTATAGCTCAGTGTACTTTCAACCCTATTGACAAGTTCATGAAGAGCGGTTTCTATGGATTTTCTATGTTGACCGGGATGTATTTCATGTGTAATGAGATATTTCATAATATGAAATTCATAATCAATATGCAACTACAAAAGCACAATACGTCGTTCCAAGTTGATCCCTGTACAAAAACTAAGTTTCTTATATGTTCGTTTATATATAGGGCACTATTTCTTTCATTGTTCGTTTTTATGTTATGATCAGTGCTCGAAGTGAGGCGGGATGGAGTGGAATGCCATCCCAGTACTTTTAAATAATTGGAAATCCATCCTACTACTTAATAGGAGAGAAAAATACGTTCCGGAACATGTTTTTTAAAATTTAAGAAAATTTTCTAATGAATTTTAAAAATTTTTTTAACAAAAAATTAAATATATGTAATTTCAAATAGTAACGTATAATTTTTTTCTATTAATGAAATTTTCGTTACCACATAGTAGTCTATGCATTTCTTTGGTAACAATTTGCACAGTTTTTGATTCAATTTTTAGTTGATTTAATTTTGAATATAAATATTCTCGTTAGCTTACTTCCAAAGTTTGGTAAATTTTGTTTAGTTATTTTTTTAAAAAATTTTTTGGTTTTTTTTTTTTTTACCATCCCACCACTTTGAGTATCCCACTTCGACCACTGGTTATGATAAAGAAACTTGTATAAGCATTTAAAGTTCCTGATAAGGTAGTTTAGATAAATCAGTGAATTAGACTTACAATCGATGCGATTATATTTTTAATATAACTAAAATCACATAACGTACATACGTAAAAAGAATTATATGGACTTTTAATATAAAAAAATACACATGCAATTTTTATGAATTATGAAGCATATTAATTTAATTAATATACACATTAAAAATCAGCAGATATATACCTACATATATTAATCAGCAGATATATACCTATAATTAGCGAACTTGTTAAAATAAGATGTACATTATCTCAAATTTGAAAAAATAAACAAAAATCAACTTCATACTTTGAAAAAAAATATTTGCAATATTTTTTTTTTTGGAGTATAGCATTTATTGAAACCTTAAAAAAATTAACGAAGTTAATGGAAAGTTTTTTTCTCAAATCTATTTTTTAATAACATAAAAGAAGCATTAATAATATAAAAAAAGATTGAAATTTTAACTTTTTCTAATTAAAAGTTTGAAAAAAGTTGATCTTGTAGGAATTTTATGATGTTAAAAAGAACCCTCTATAGCTTCTATAAGAATACATGTAAATTCGTCAGCTTAGAGTCCTTTCTTTTAGGGTCCGGGCTGTATTTTTGTCAGCAGTGGTGAAGACCCATGATGTAAAAAAGACTACTGCACGCGCAGAGTTCTATACAATATTGCATCAATCGTATGAAGATCGCACTTTTAGCCGGTTTGGTCAGTATTGAAACATGCTTTTGATATTACTCCATATTCTTTCCGAAAAAGTTACGTTACGAATTGCTGTGGATTAATTTGCAATTATTGCAAACGTGTAGGGCTATTTCTGACTGAAACCTTGCAGTGTCTGGCAAGTTCAACCATGTCAATTAGGTCGTGAGGACGGTCACAAACTAAGAGAAACTCACTGGGTATGTTAACAGCGACCGGTCAGCTGGGTATACACAATCAAAGCCGCTTAAGAAGATGAAACTGACACATTTGTCATATTCGGACGCCTGTGAGAGTTACAAGTTTGGTATTGTCACCAATTGCCACCCTGAAACTCTCACGAATGAGGAGCAGCTGAAAGCGATGCAGTAGAAAGTCCTCAAATAAGTGGAGGAAATGCCTATGGGAGGGGTTGTCCACTTTGCAGGGACGAAAATGAGGTTTAAGCTCTGGCACTGGAGCGGATCTATTACACACCGTAGTTTGGCTTTGATTGGATAAATCTTCTACCAAAAGGCGCCCATCGAGAAACGGCAATGAAAAACACAGCAGTAGTGAGGGCGGCGAAACTGCAAGACACCATAAAGTCTACGATCTAAAATCTGCGGATTGAAAAAGTGGTGGTAATTGACTGTGATGCTAGCACCCAACACAGCATCTGGGAGACACGAATACAAATGCGAGATATGAACCTTTAGTTGATTTTCTTATTAGTATTCACCGTATTAGTTGGTGACTTTCTTTCCTAAGGCTAGTACGGGGATGACTACATCCCAAACTGATGAGACCGATGCTCATATCGTCGTTAATCATCAAAACGGGGGAGAAAATTGTGGAGAGGTTCATTAAAGAAATTTTTCTAAGTGCTGCTCTCCTTTTCACGTATCAGTACGCGGACAAATTCACTGGCATGGCTTAACTTTATCTCGAAAATCAAGAAGCTCTTGGACTAAAAAGAAGACCATGGCCTCCTCCAGGCGAGGGGTTTTGCGTTGCATGCTTATGAGCAGTGCTGTCTAGGTATCTCTCGGTCATACTCAGGATCTGGCTAGGATCTCCAGGACTGGCCTCAAAGGTGAGTCCTTCGCGATTTCGACAATTAACTTTATTATACAATATACATACATACTTGATTTGCTAGAACGTCGCAGTGAAGCTAAGAAGTTCAGGTAAGTTTCTTTTTTTGTTCCAAGCATTGTTAAATTACCCAATACCACCCCATTAAGGTCAAGAATCATCACCGGACAACAGAAGATTCCCTCCTCCGCAAAAAGTTTACTACTCGATACTTATCAAAGTTCCAAGCCAGTTGCACAACGGCATTCCCCAAAACTATCCAAATCTCTCTGCAACGCCAGACAATTAACCTCCGACCAAACTGTCCTCACAATTTTGGAGTCATCAGCAAAACGATAAAGCACAGATCCCAAAACAGAGCTAAAAGCATCCATAGTCGCGACTAACATCCGACATGGCACTACAGAACATCCGACATGGCACAGAAGACATCAGATACAGCCGAATGGGAAGAAACTTGATACAACCGATATGTTAAATAGGAATAAACCCACATAGTGCTAGTAAAAGAAAAGCCTAAGGAAAAACAGAAGATACCAACGATAGATTAAATAAAGAAGTAAGAGAACCAACAAGGCCACCCTTAATGAAATGAAAACCAAGGCACCAGTCACCAACCAACTGTTGGTCCGGAGACAAACAATTGAAACCACCAACCGGAGCAAAAACACTTGAAAAGTGTCAGGTGAATAAATTAGAGATAACCAGAGAATCACTAGAAGTTGTAGCAGAAAATTGAGGAAGGATAATCATCAGACCTATTCCTAGAATTGATAAAATCAAAAAACTTGCGCGGATCACCAAATATACTACGCAGGAAATCTCCAAGATATGCCCCATACAAATCAGCACACATAAACCTTAAACTATCATAGGCCAAGGAAAACCTAGCATAATACGCCGATAACCTTGACGCTACAAAAGCCCGCCAAGCAGAGTTCGTGACGTTCTTAAGGCTCCGCAGCTCTAGCGTATACCAAGGGAGTGACGACACACATTCCTATGTCTAACCACTGGCACAGAAGAACGCAAACAATCAAAGACAGAGAAATAAAGCTTGCGCAACTAATCATCAAGTCTCTCATCTGCCATGAAAATAGAGTCGAACTCAACCGAGTCCAATAAGTAATAATCCAAAATCAACCCTACAAAAATTAAAGCTTAGGCCCTTCTCCCCTCCGGACGCAACAGCAGAACCAAATATCCCGACAGAAAACATAGACAGGTGTGATGGTAATCATGACACAGCAAAACTACCAAGTTCAGAACAAAAGTCAAAATTCAGCTGCCTACCAAACTTATTACAAACAATACTAATCTGCCACAAGCCACACGAACCAATATCGTCTAGAACCACATAAAATTCATACCATCATAAATGGAACAGCCTTTCGACCAGCATCCAAACTAGGGGTACAGTAACAAACAAAGATATACAAGAAAGAGCAAGCCATAACAATCTTCACACACATAAACTCAAACACATCGCAAGACGGAAGAGATACAAACCCAGGCAGGAACGTCGACTTCAAGTTATAAAATATTTAAAACAAAGTGTTAAAAGAAACTCTTATTTAATGTAAACTTATAAAAATGTAACAAATCGAAAAAAGAAGATTTCTTGGAACAAAAAGTGCACAGTTCCAACTTGTTATTCCCACATGTAAATATTATTTTAATAGTTAAAAGAAATATATGTATATACATAAATGTAACATTAAGCTTATACAATATATAACGTTAAGTTTAATTCATAAATCGTAAATTTATTAAATTTTTAATTTTGAAAAGAAAATACATATATATTCTTATTTTGTTCTAAACTAAAATTACTTTTAATTTTACCAAGAGCGTTTTTCTTAAGCAAAATTAATTTCTGCTAATAAAATTTACCACTCATATGATGTTTAAAATTAGCTCTTTTTTTTATATATTTACAGTTTTACTAAAAATGATGAAATGAAAAAAAGTGAATTGCGAAATAAAATCTAAAGATAGTGGAATGAAATAGTTTTAATTTCATATTATATTATTTTTTACTTTAAAAAATTTTATAAATTTGTCTTTCTTGCATCATACATATTACAAATATTTTATAATGGAAGCGAGATAAAAAACTTTACCAACAACTTGGAACAAAGAAAAAGACAACTAAAAAAGAATTTGGCTTCATTGTTTTTGTAAACGAATTGGAAATACTAAAGGAAGCAACATCTTTAAGACTTTAGATAAGTCTCTTTCTTTGCTCCGAGCGTTCTGAAACTGAAATTAACATTAAATGCCAAATGTTGTTGTGTTTTTTCTTAGAAAATTACGCGTAGCCATATAAAAAGCAAAAAAAGAAGATTTTGTTATTTTATTTATAAAATTAGTGCAGTTTGTAAATAATAAATTTAAAAATATTTAACAATAAGTGTTACAAAAAGAATATTATTTTATAAAAACTTATAAAAAAGTTGTAACTAGTGAAAAAAAAAGGAAAAAATTTCTTGAAAAAGAAAAAGGTGTATAGTTTTAAATTGTTATTCCCATTTGCAAAAACAAATTGTTTTTTTACACCGTATACATATGTACATGTGAATATTATTCATTTCAATAATTAAAAGAAATTTTATTAAGTTTTTAATTGGCAAAGCAAACATGTTTCTGTTTTGTTTTAAATTAAAATTACTTCGGATGTCATAATTTTATCAAGACAGGTTTTTTTTTAAACAAAATGAGTTTGTGTTTCATAAAATGATTTTTTTTTGTATAATTAAAATTTTTCTAGAAATAATAAAATGAAAAGATGGAATGATTTCCCTTTATAGAAGATTTGGTCACCAAAAAAGTAAATGAAGATGGCGTTGAATTCTGTAAGTAAAATACAATATTAGCATGTATTATTTACATTGTAAGATATTTTGTTTTAGAATGAATTAATATGTGAAGCAATTAATGAATAAGCAAGAATACGGCAACATACCATCTACTTCAGTGAGTAAAGACCATCATATTAATTAAAATTTGTCAAAAATTATATTGTTTTAGAGTCATTAAAATTTATATGTATTTATAATTATTGTTATTAATATCGTTTAGAGTTCAGTAAAGTTATTAAAACTGATAACATCAGAAATTTTTTAACATATTAAAAATATGGTCATTTTCGAGGGTCATAAAATATTGTGATATTAAAATACTTACATATAATGTGTGCAATTTATAAAATAAATTTATTCAAAGAAAAAAAAAATACATATAATGAGTTTTGTTTAAATTTGTTTTTTTTTTTACAGATATCAAAAATGAAAAAATATTTTGAAATAGTTTTTAGTTTTTACTTTAAAAAAATGTTTAACTTATCCTTTTTACAAATTACACATATTTCATAGTGGAGGCCAGAGAAGAAAATAAAATAAATACGCTCCTGTTACGACTTTGACAATGCTTGCAGCAAAGAGAGAAACAACAAAAAAATTTGGCTTTATTGTTTTATCAAGATGCTCCTTTCTTTAGTATTTTTAATTCATTGGTTTTTGTAAGGTACCCATTCTTCTGTAAGGTAGTCTTTTTTAATTCGTTTCCACATACAAAGTGCAACATTTTACAAAATTATGTTACATAGATAAAAAATAAGATTTACCTTTTTGAATTTTGACACAATCTGTAGAATTTTTTCAAAAATGTCAAAGAAAAATCAAACCCAATTTTTGAAGAATAAATTTATGCATTCAGTCTGAAGCAATAAAATTATGTTAAGAATTAAAAAAAAAATAAGTTAGGTTGTTTTTTTTTATTTTAAGCGTCGATATTTGCAGCTAATTTTTGTTGCTTTGTAAAATGCAAAAGAATATTTGATTTTGAATTTACAAAAGTATTATTAGAAAATACTTTTGTTTACCGAAATATTCAGTAAGAAGTTGACTGTAAATTTGATGTCAAAAGTTTGACGTCCATAGTAAATATCGTATATTTCAACAGTAATTTATATAAATTTTTATTTTCGCAAAACACTACTGATAACAAAATACAGGAGAATCTAAAAATGTACGGAATTTTTTTTTTTTCACCGCCAGCCTTAGCCTTAATAAGTTTGTTATCGAGATATTTTTAAGCTGGATTCACTCAATCAAGGGAAAAAATATTTCGACTTGAAATATCGCAACTCAAAACCGACGAACCAATTAATACATTTCTAAACCTATGTAATTTATTTTGGTTTGGCAACACTTTTTTCAACAATACTGCGCGCGTCTGTCAGAAAGTGTAAGGTTATGTACAACTGCGTTTTTATACGAATGTCTTCAATATTAAGGATGTTCTGAAAAAGAAGCCATCAGACAATTTTTTTTCTTTTTAACATCATATTGTCGAAAAATTTAAAATAGGGAGTGAAATACCATCAAAATCACTCAAAAAAAACATCAATAAATAAATAATAAAAAAATTTGAACATAGGAATATATACGCCACAGTAATTAGTAAAATAAAAATGGCTGAAAATGCACCAGACCATGAGGCTCAAATGGGCCCAACTCAAGTAAATCATGATGATCAACCTAAGGAGGTAATAGCTACTAAAATATGTGGAAACGTTAAATGGTTTAATGTTAAAAGCGGTTACGGATTTATAAATCGTAATGATACAAAAGAAGATATATTTGTTCACCAAACGGCTATTATCAAAAATAATCCGAAAAAGGCAGTTCGTTCGGTAGGCGATGGTGAGGCAGTAGAATTTGACGTAGTTGTTGGTAAGTTTCAAAGTTTTGAAAGCTTTAATTATTGTAATTTTATAAACAATTTTGATATATGTATGCATAAGTAAGTTTACATACATATTTATAGATACATATATACATGTATATATGTATGTATGTTTGGATGTATTTTTATGTCAAAATGAGAAAAATATTTTCTGTGGAAAACCTATAGATTTATTTTTTAAAGAATTAAAATTAAGGTTTGCATATTTTTTTCGTTCACTCGTGTATTTAAATACATATGTATACCAAGAAAAAAGTATATTCACATATATTCTGGAGGAATTAAAAAAAACTTCAGCACTTGAATTTTTCAAAAATTTTTTTTTTCAATAGCCAATATTTCATTCAAAATATTTTTACATTCATAGTTTATTAATTTTTAAGTGAAAAAATCGAATATATGTATGTATAATATTTGAGGTTAGGATTATAGTTTTGTGGTTAATGTTAGCAGGTTAGCGAAAACTGTATGCCAAAAATTTTTTTAATTATCTAATAATGAATTAGGGAGTACTTTAATTTTTAATAATATGGCCTTTATAATAAATTATTAGATTTTAATTACTGCACCTTATAAAATTAGTTATATATTTTATATTAAAGTACCTACATAGCTAAATTAAATCCAAACAAGAATAATGTTATATACACACATATGTATGTATGTATGGATGTATGCAGGGTATTTTGCATAAGGTGGTAAATTATTTCAGGGATGATTCTTTGATCAATTTCCAGTAAAATATTGTGTAAGAGGGGAGGGGTGCAGACACACTTGTTTTTGAGCTACAACCTGTTGAAAAAAAGGTACCAAATTTTTCCCTATATAAATAAATGCTTCTAACTTCGGAAACGTGCAACAGAGCAGTCATCGGGTACACTTACAGGTAATTGATTGCTCCTTATTTTTATACCCTGCACTTCGTGAAGGGTATATTAACTTTGGTATGGAGTTTATAACTACATATATATTCTTGCACAGTGTAAAATTCTGCGTCGATTTAGACATGTCCGTCTGTCCGTCCGATCGCACGATAACTCAAAAACGAATAATGCAATCGACACCAAACTTTCACGAGTTTTTTCTTTTGTGCCAAGGACGAACCCTATTGTTATTGGACTAATTCGGACAACGGGATCGGGAGTTGCCATACAACTCAAAGAGTTTATTTTAAATATTTCAAAAACTAATAAAGTTTTAAATATAAAATTTTGTATACATGTGTCCAATTATAAAATACCATACAACTCCAACAGCAAATTCTTTATATTCGGCAAAATAATAAAATCAGATTCATGAAACTTGGCAGTCGGATATCCAATTATAGGTCAGATATATCCGCGAAATTTCTATAGAATGATTTCACAAGTTCGAGTAATTGCTACACAATAACGAAAGGTGTAGGGTATAATTTAATCGGTTTATACCGAAAAGTTTTTACTTGTTAGTCTTACAATCAATTTATCTCTGCCATAGTCGTCACAATTTAGAATTTTTTTTTTTTTAAAACTCAAAATTTCTTGAAAGTTTCTGCTATTATTTTTTTTTTCAATGCATCACAATGAGATTTAAAAGTCAACCCATATAATATTTTTCTCTATCTCTCATGCTTTTGCCAGTAAAACATGTTAAATGTGTTTAAAAAACATGTGAAAAATTCAAATTTCATAGATTTCATTAATCAAATTTTTCTCTTTTTTAATTTTTTTTTTAGTCTTCTCTAGAGCGATAATGTAGTGAATTTCTTGAAGCTTTAAATTGTTTTTACAGAAATTCTGTACAGCTGCTTTAGTTTTAATTGAGTCTTCAGGAAAAAAAAATTTCTGTGTCAAGATTTGTGAAATGTAAAATCTCAAAAAATTATCACTATTTTTACTTTTATTAGGGCTTTTCATATACACAGTATATCGCGAAATATAGCGAGAATTGCGCTATATTGTGTTCATAAACAAATTTTGCTAATCAAGTTTGTTTATAAACATTGTTAAATTAAAATAATTTTGAGATAGTTTAGCAATGTTTATTAACAAACTTGATCAGCAACATTTGTTTATGAACACAAATATAGCGCAGTTCTCGCTATATATCGCGATATGCTGAGTTTATGAAAAGGCCTATTGCGTATGTTTCACGTTATTGTTTTGCAGTATTGTGTTTATGTAAATCTGTTTTAATTTTAAGCCAGTGGTCGAAGTGGGATACTCAAAGTGGTGGGATGGTAAAAAAAAAAAAAATAAAAAAAAAAAGTATTATTATTTATTATTATTTTTTAAAAAAATAACTCAACAAAATTAACCAAACTTTGGAAGTAAACTAACGAGAATATTTATATTCAAAATTAAATCAACTAAAAATTGAATCAAAAACTGTGCAAATTGTTACCAAAGAAATGCATATACTACTATGTAGTAACGAAAATTTCATTAATAGAAAAAAATTATACGTTACTATTTGAAATTGGTCTTATTTAAAATTACATATATTTAAGTTTTTGTTAAAAAATTTTTTAAAATTCATTAGAAAATTTTCTTAAATTTGAAAAACATGTTCCGGAACGCATTTTTCTCTCCTATTAAGTGGATGGATTTCCAATTATTTAAAAGTACTGGGATGGCATCCCACTCCATCCCTCCTCACTTCGAGCACTGTTTTAAGCGTTATAATTATCAATTATTTTTAATTTTGATTGAAATAGCCATTTGAAATTATTGGGTAAGAGAAAACTGAAGAAATAAAGAAGGGAACATTTGATTTTTCTTAAAGCTCGAATAGTATTCCGAAAGTACATAAAATACAAAATCAAGTAACTTGTTGATTTTAAGTCCTTTACTAGACCTTTCAGAAATTGTTTGTTTGAAAGTCCTATTTTTTTCCGGAACGGAAGTTATAAGTTTTGAACTTGTGTGAAAATTTGTTAAAATTCCTCTAAACACAAAACCCTTCAAGTTTGGCAGAGCAAAAGTTTTCCTATTTTCGACCCCTAACCAATACAATATCTTGTTGTACACCTTTCTAGATGACAATTTAACTTCGACTGATAAAACGGCTGATAAAATTTAAAAATCAATATACATACATATGTACTAAATCAAATTATGTTTTAAATTGGATTCAATAAATATAAATAAAATTTTAGTGAAAAAAACTTGTTATCGTGTTAAAACATCGTTGGTTAATAGGTAATACTATCTATTGAAAAATAGGAAACTTTCGATATTCTTTAATGCTCGATTCCCTATGTATAACTCCAGGTTCTTTAAATAAAATTATGTTATATCTCTTACTGCAACATAGAATTACCAAAATCATTTAAAGTCATTTGAATGTTTAATGATTGTTGTGAAATCTGAACTTTTGACGGGCATGTGGATTTATGTTCTGTTTTGATATGGTATGGAAAAATTTGACATAGTTTCTTAACACTTAAAGTTTATAGTTTCTTATAGTTTCTTAAAACTTAAAGTTTGGCAACGTTGTGAGAATATTGAATCTTGAAGAACAAAATTTGTAAATATTAATTTTTACTTTTGTCGATAGCCCACGTCTTTATTTGAACAATATGTATTTTATTTGTAGCACTTAATTACGACTTTGCATCAATGCATCAATATCTAAATTCTAAATACCTTACATTCGAACAAATTTAAATTCTTCAATATAAAGTTTACAATTTGAGATTCTTGTTTTTCGAAAAAAGTTGAATTGTATAAATGTCGTTTTTGAGGAGATTCACTCCGTTTTCGGCATAAAATCTACTATAGTTATCAGCAAATAAAGCTAATCTTCCAAAGAATAGAAACCTTTGAATGCTCTCAATATATTAAAAGGAATATTTTAATATATTAAGAAAAGCAGTGGTCTAGGCATAACTTTGAATTAATCGTAAAATTGTAAAAGCTAAATTAATTAACAAAAATCGTAATTATTGCAATAAAATGTCGTTATTCAAAATCAAAATTCAAAGAATTCCACCTTAGTACATATTATTTCTACAACATCTCTAAGGGCATTAGTAATTGTGATTTTTTTGTAATGTAATTTTATTAATATCTAATACGGGTTTATAAAATAACATTATACGGGTTACTAAAATAACATTTTAGTGTTCTTTTTAAAGTTAAGCGTGTTAAGTTATTTAAAATAGTACATATTATTTTTCAAGTATGTATGTGGTAATAAAGAAGACAAATTTTATAGGTTTTAATTTTATTACACGTTATATACGAGTATAATATATATTTTCGTAAAATATATTTAATAAATTTTGTAAAATATCTAAGTTAATCCAATTAAAAAATACTATATTTGTTTGTTAACAAAGTTAGAATAATTCGCAAAATACTACTTTTAAATTTCAGAAACAAACTTTTATGAATTTTAAGTTTCTTTACGGCCACTGATAAACTTGAAATGAGGGAGTGAGTATAAGAAATGAATATATGAGTATAAAAAATGAAAGAATATTTATGATCTATTGAATTAGCAAATATTTATGATCTATTGAGTTGCCATCTCATTCGGCCAACCTAGAAAATTTTCAGCTTCTGAACATAATATTTCATGAGGTTCTTCTTCCCTTTGAGCTGCTAATACATCTTGGGGTTCTTCTTCGTCGTCGTTGTAAGATTCGTCATCATTTGTGTCTAAATTACACCACATTTTCATTTTGTCTGCACTTGTATCAATTATGTTGGGACACTCATGATCTTCTTTCTGTACTTGATATCTATCGAACTCTTTAATTGCGATGATACGGTACGGACATAAAAATTTAAGCCTGATTTTCTAGCCAGTACCAAATGAGTTTTCATCTCACATCCTGCAAGTAATTCAAATGGTGCCGTTTTTATTGTACGGTGGTATGTAGAATTTATAACTCGTTGTACTGGTTTAACATAATTATACCATCTATCTAAGTCTTCTAATACAAGTTTTGTCAACAATGTTACGGTTTCAATTGTGTTTCAATTTGCCTGTTACCACGTGG